CAAATCTAGCCTTTGACACTTACTAGCTGTGTGACCCTGGGCAAATCACTTAACCCCATTGCCTAGCAAAGGGGAAAAAAAGAAGATGTAATTGGGAAATAGTTAACAAAATAAATAAAAATATAATAGAATATAGATACTATGACTACATCATTTTCTAAGTCAGTGTGCTGCCCACAGGGATCTTTATGTACAATTTAGTAGTAACTCCCCATTTCTATTTAAGTTTGACACTTTTAGTCTAGGAGACTGAGAAGTTAAGTGACTTGGCAAGGGTCACGTAGCCACTAGTTATCAGAACTTGAATTCAGACTTGAACTCCTGTCTTTCTGACTTCAAGACTAACTCTATTCGTCATGCCAATTTGCCTCTCACAGAGAGATTATTCAAAATAATTTGGCATAATTTTCTATACGGGCAAAATCAAGTGGGCAAAGAACATCTATTCAGATTGATACACACTTATCAGTTATAAATATCAGATGCATAGTTACAGCCTACTAAACTTGTATATGTTTATGTCTTGGACAAATACTGAAAATAGCAACAAATTAGGTCCAGAATTGAATAGGAGGAGCACTACTGGCTTGAAAGTTATTTTAATGACCCCTGTCGTTCCTTCCTATCCCTGTTCCCTTACACATACTAAGCTTCTAAAGATGTAAAGATCAGGCTCATTTAGAAGACAGTGGAGAGGTTGATGGTGAGCATGAAAGGGCTAATCAACAAATTAGACAAATAAGGAATTGGGGAGAAGTACTGTAAAGGATATTATCAAAGAAGTATATTAATAAAAGATGATGGGACAGGATGTGTGGCAAAAGCAAGGGATAGCTATTGGATAGCCCATCTGTTCTGTTGGTATCCTAACGTTAAGAGAAAGGGAGGAAAGCTTTACCGGGCTTTGAATTTTTTGTAGCAAAAATTTGGAAGAACATGGCCAAGTCACATGACATAGATAGGTATGGAAGGGTTGCCATATGCATCACTGGCATGAATACCTGCATTGACAAGACCATAGATATTTTGGAGTATTAGAGTAATATAGATGTTACTCTGGCCAAACTCCCATTCAGTAAAGGACTTTGGTATGGTCCCTTATCATTTGACCTGTATCTTGTTCCTTTTGAATAAGTTTTATCCTTCTACAACCATGTTGCAATTATAGTTCTTATCATGCAATGTCTTGATATTTGTGAGTTCAAATTTGTCTCCTTGTCAAAGATCTTGTGTTCATTTTGCTTCTAAGACTTTGTGCAAATGTTAATAGAAATCTGAAATTTTATCTACAAAATCCAAGAGTACTTTGTCTCCTGGAAATTTGAGTGTCTATGTTGCTACTTTTTGCTTTGTAGCTACTTTGTCTTTTGTATTTCTGTGGCTATCGATATGAAGTTTTCTTCACTTCCCTTGGCTTGACAGATTTACACGACATCAAGCATCCATAGTTAGGTGTTCTCCACCCATACCTTTATCATATATCTGCTGTATACTCAGCACTATGCTAGATATTTAGGAGAGAGAGGAAGAAAGGCATAGGGCAACGACTTAAGTACTTATCAGGCAGTGATTTAATTTTTTATAAGACTTTTAAAAGATCATTTATTTAGCATTTTAAATGATTTTTTGGTATGTTAAAAAATACATTCTTTCAAACGTGTTTACAGAAGACTGTTCTCAGTTTTCCAAAAATATTTATGTGGATTAAAATTACTCTAAAAACCGTTAGTAATTTATCTAGTTAATCTGTATTCAAATAAAAATGTGAAAGGTAATCAGATTCATTCAAAAAGTAGCCCGTAAGTGACAGCCATGTTGTGCAGTGACTAACTTTGATAGACACAGATCTTCTCAGCAATGCAAGGATCTAAGGCATCTCCAAAAGTCTCATGTTGGAAAATGCTTTCCACATCCAGAGAAAGAACTATGGAGTTTGAATGCAGATCAAAACATACTACTTGCCTTTTTTTCCTTTGTTTTGTTTCTTCTTTCTTGTGGTTTCTCCTGTTGGTTCTAATTCTTCTTTACAACCTGATTAATGTGAAAAAATTTTTTAAAGTAGCCCATAATAAACATTTTGTCAGTGTAACATGTTAAGAATTTTATAACCAGATGTATTTATTTGAAAATAAATTATATCTTTCATTTTTTAGAAGTAGGACATGAAGTCTTCATTCTCATGGTAGCAGCCACAGGAAATCTAGACAAATATTTAGCCCAATAGAAATTAGAACACTTCTTTTCTAAACAGTATTTAATCTGACCATTTTAGACAGAGTTTAAAAGAAATCTTGGTAGCAGCAATTTGTTGGCCAAATTTCTTAAATGAAAAAGAAATTGAGAAGGTACAATAGTGTGAACAAAGTAAGCAATTTGGCAGGTTCAGTCTGTTGCCAGGGCCATGATCAAAACCTTTCCAGTATGGTAAAGCCTACCAGACCTTGCTCCTCGCTGAAAAATAGAGGCAAATGAGACAGAATTAGGTATTCTTGCATCTTGAGCACAGGGTACTAGAGTGCCTTTTAAGGAGAAAGAACCCAGGGAAAAGGAGGGTACAATGAGAGATGAGTCAATCAGTAAGCATTTATCAAGAGCCTACCAGGAACCAGGCACTGTTCTAGGCCATGGGATACAAGTGGTGGTGGTGTTTACTTATTTCTGTCATGTCTTATTCTTCATTACCCCATTTGGAGTTTTCTTGGCAGAGATACTGGAGTAGTTTACCATTTCCTTCTCTAGCTCATTTTACAGATGGGGAAACCGAGGCAAACAGGGTTAAGTGACTTGCCCAGGGTCACATAGCTAGTAAGTGTGTGACGCCAGATTTGAACTTAGGAAGTAAAATAAATCTTCCTGACTCCAGGCCTGGCACTCTAGCCATTGTGCCACCTAATTGCCTAAGATCTCCTGCTGAAGGGATACAAGTGCAAAAAAAAAATCAATCCCTGCTTGCAAGGAACTTATATTCTAAGACAGGTACACATACAAATATATACAGCATAAATAGAAAGTGTATAAATGAAAATAAATACAAGGTAATTGGGAAGGAAAGAAAGTTATAGGGATCAGGAAAGACTCCATGTAGAAGGTACTACTTCAGCTTCATCTTGAAGGAAGAGAAGAATTGAATGAGCTGGAAATGAAAGAATACATTCAAGACATTTAAGACACCAAAGCCAAGGGGCAGCTGGGTGGCGTAGCAGATAGAGCACTAGCCCTGAAGTCAGGAGGACCTGAATTCAAATGCGGTCTCAGACTAAATACTTGAGACTTACTAGCTGTGTGACCCTGGGCAAGTCACCTAACCCCAGTTGCCTAAAAATAAATAAATAAAGAGACACCAGAGCCAAGTCTCACAGATCAGGAAGAGACAGGAGATGGAGTGTCCTATATGAGGAACAGGGAGAAGGCCAGTTTGTTTGAATCACAGAGTGTGTGCAGTAGGTAGAGTAATATCCAGTGAAGCTAGAAAGATAGATTAAAGCTAGGTTGTGTAGGACTTCAAAAGCTAAACAGAAGTGTACACACACACACACACACGCACACACACACACACACACACACACACGTATGTGTTTACATATTCCTAAAGGCAATAGGAAGCACTAAAAGTTGATCGAATAGGCGAATAATATGGTCAGATGTATGCTTAAGGAAAACTGTTTTGGCAATACTGCGTTCGATGGGTTAGAATGGTAAGAAACTTGAGGCAGGGAGGCCAGTCTTTTGTAGTCCCTTAAACAAGGCAATGAGAGCTTTAACCAAGGTGGTAGCTGTGTTAATAGAAAGAAAGTGACCTCTGGTAGAGATGTTTTAGAGATAGAAACAACAAGATTTGGCAACTGATTGGATATATAGGCTGAGAGAAAATGAAGAGTCAAGAATAATGCTGAGATAGTGAAATTGGAAGACTAGAAGGATGCTGGTGCCTTTGATAGAAATGGGGAACCTTGGAAAGTTTGAGGAGGAAAGATAATGAGGTCACATTTGCACATGTTAAGAAATGGGTTATGCAATTTGAAATGTTCAATAGGCAATTAGAAAAATAGCCGAAGCTCAGGGGAGAGACCAGGGCTGACTATATCTGTGAGTCATCTATGTAGAGATAATTATTAAACCCAGGGGATCTGATGAAGGATGAAAAGGGGAGTGATTCTACAGGACAAAGAATAGAAAACTTACCTTTGTGACAGTATTACCACATTCTTACTTTTAGAAAAAAATGATTAAAATATTTCACTGTAGAACAATCTTATGTTACACAAGTTCAAAGAAACTAACAAAAGCCACTTAGACGAATTGAATTTTGATATTCCTTCCCAAAGAAGAAACTGCCTATTTTTAGAAATTAAGAAGTGAGGCTAGCATAAAAGTTTTATGCTATCAAAATAACATTTTCCCTTATAGAAACTCAAAATTATTACCAACAATAGGTAATAGTTATTGTTTAGTAAATTAAAATGGGATTATTGACCATTTAAATTAGATTATAATTATCGTAAGCTGGTCCTGTTCAATTACAAAAGATTAGTATGTTGCAGCAGAGGGAATTGTATTGGGTTGTTTTTTTTTTTTTTAATTTTAATTCACAGTTTGAATTTCATGAAATCTTCTATCAGTTTTTGACCGGAGTAATCAGATATCATGTAACAATTGTCATTCTCCAAAAAATTGAGGAGTTTTTATAGCCCTACTAAAAATTTATAGGCTATTCTTTAAAAATACTAATCACGATATGAAATTTTGCTTCATAATTAAAAAACCCTGTGAGAACCAACAACTGTCTTTGTGATGCCACAAAAATAAGTGGTTTATACAAAGATATAATTTAATTTTCCTAAACAAAATTGATGATAATTGCTTTGTCAACAGCTCATATAACAGATAAAATTGATGTTAGTTGTTTTGTTTCATTTTGTTGTGGTGGGGTTTTTTCCTTTCCACTTGCTGATGCTTTGGGTTTTACTGGTAAAAAGAGCTTTTATTTATTCCTTTTACAGTGGACCAGAAGATACAATAAATGATTGCAAGATAAAGTTTATAGAAGAAATATACAAGATTGAAAAACCTGGAGCTCATCCACTTTCATTTGCCGATGGACCCTTTACAAGTATGATGTTTTTCTTTTGGGGCAGTGGTATAAAGGTTACCGATTCTGTATGACTGACCTAAGAATGACAGGCAAGAGCTATCTGGTATGGAAAAAAAAGTCATTAATTCAGCAAGCATCAATTCAGTGCCTCTTTGGTGCCCAGGCACTAAACTAGGTGCTGGGGCTACAAAAACAAGAACACAATGGTGCCTGGCCACAAGTGCCTTACATCCTATTAGAGTCATACACTTCTGAGTAAAGACAAAACATGCAAAGGAAAGGCAAGTAATCTGGTTTAAGCAGTGGCGACTGCGGGAATCCAAAAAGGCATTTGAGTAAAAAGTGGAAAGTGAGCTGAGCCTTAAAGGAAGCAGGGATGCCAAGAAGAGGAAATGAGGGCAGTGCATTCCTGCTCCTGAGATGGGTTTGTTATGCCATGTACAAAGAACCGCAGGGAGCCAAGTCCTGAAGAGCTTTAAACATGAGTTAGTATTTTATCCTAGGGTAGTAATAGGGAGCTTTTAAAGCAAAGTAGTGCCAGTGTTATCAGATATTTAATTGTTCATTTAAATTTAGTGTTATAACTTCCAGTTAGGCTTAAAAAAAAAAAGCAGATTATTTCAGTCATTTTGTAAAGTCACCAGTTTTCTTGAGACAGTATTTGTGCTCAGTTTCTACCTTTTATTGTAAGGTTTTCTTGGTTGAGTATATTTAAAATTTATCAAAGGGTGTGAGGTGGATACAGTAAAGCAACAAATATTTATTGAGCACCTACAGCGTGGTTAGACACTTGGAGATAGAGACAAACATGAAATAGCCCTTAAACAATTTACTTGCCACTAAGATAAAATTAAAACATCACTGAAGTTATATAACAACAAATTGAGCTTAAGAAACATTAACAGAATGAGATTTTTAAAGTACAAGGCTTAACAAAATGGTGTTGGCAGTATCTCTTCTTTTAAGATAATAAGGCAATGGATAGGGGCAGCTAGGTGGTGCAGTGGATACAGCACCAGCCCTGAAGTTAGAAGGACTTGAGTTCAAATCCGGTCTCAGACCAAACACTTGACACTTACTAGCTGTGTGACTCTGGGCAAGTTGCTTAACTCCAATTGCCTTTTAAAAAAAATTTTTTTTAAAAAGATAATAAGGGTTGTGTGACTTGGGTTTGACACCTCACACCGTAATAAAGTTGGACGAAAAGGATACACAGAATTACAGTGGGGTGAAGAAGGTCAACGTTTATGAAAAGGAGAAAAAAAAGGACATGCACATTTGGTATTGGGGGTAGAAATGGGGGGTGAGGGGTTGGGAGGAGTGAAACAGCTAGTAGGAAAAAAGTGTATCTGAGAAGATTAGAATTGTCAAGGAACATTTCCTAGGAACCAAATCTAATGGTGCACTAGTTAAAGTAGAGGACTTAGAGGCAGAAGACCTGATTTCAAATATTGCCTCTCATACTGGGAGTTGTGTGATAATAAGCAAGTCACTTAAGTCACTTAACCTGTCTCAGTGCTAATAAAGGGGTTCAACTAAATGATCTGTCACCAGGCCTAGAGTCAGAAAGACACAAGTTCAAATCCAGCTTTTAACGCTTATCAGTGTTGTGAACCTCGGCAAATCTTTTAACCTCTATTTGCCTCAGTTTCATCATCTGTAAAATGGGGATAATAACACTTGCCTTCCATTGTGGTTGTGAAGATCAAATGAGATAATAATTGTGAAGCATTTAGCGCAGTGCCTAGCACGTAGTAGGTGCTATATAAATGTTAGCTATTTTTATTCCAACTTTAAAACTATATTCTTAGGATCCTGTTGGAACATTTTTACTGGGGTACATTTAAACACCTGAATTAGCCAAGGGAGAATTGAGTTTCTTAGCCAAAAGATAAGGAGAGGAACCTTCAAAAGGACTCAAAACTAAAGGCATACAAAACTGTTCTAACTACTTCTCTCCCTTTAAACTGCTTCTACTATTTTGGAGTGTGTATAAGATTTTTCCAAACTGTAAAATACACAGATATCATTATTACCTTCTACTTTTCTATGGTAGGTATAAATTAGAAGTAGTATTCTATTCTTGTCTCTTCCACAGTAGTCTAGTTTTTTGCTACAAACATTTGTGTTTTTCTTTCCCCCAAGTAAATGAGTTAGCAAACTGTACAAAATATTGTAGGGCATCTGAATATTTTCAAGGACCAGAAAGAAGATCTTATTGAGAAAGGAAAGATGACATCCTGTGGACTATGGGAGATTAGATTCTAATCTGGAATTACACACCATCATGGCAGTTGTTTTTATGCATGCTTTAATTCTGGGTAGACTTTTTACTCCTAGATTGCCATTTCATGTATCACAAAATTTCACATTTGGTAGGAAACCCCTAGCTTATCTAATTCAATCAATACTTGAACACGTTAATGAGGATCTACTCTACAGAGTGCTCTATAAGTGGTCTTCCAGTCTTTGTTTAAAGACCTTTACAAAGCAATCCATTATTATACTGGAGAAATTTTTCTTTATATCAAGCCTGAATTTGCCTATTTGTAGTTTCTATCCCTTGCTCCAAATGCTGTTTTCTGGAGTCAAGCAGAACAAATCTAATCAGTCTTTTATGTCAATCAACAAGTATATCTCTCTTCCCCCATCCCCCAATTGGGAAAGCAGGAAAAGCAAAACCCCTTTTAAAAAATTGTTAAGTAAAACAAATTCTCATATTGGCCATGTCCATAGATAGATGTCATTCTGTACTCTAGGCCAAATGCTCCTCTATCAGGAGGTAGGCAGCTTCCTGATAGAATTTCATCATGAGTCTTGGAATGTGTGGTAGTTGGCCATGGTTCATATATTTACAAAACACTTTATTACAAGGAAAGAAGAAGGAAATAAGCATTTATTAAGCTCTTATGTGTCAGATGTGCTAAGTGCTTTAATATCTCATTTTTTTTCTTCAAAACAACTTTAGGTACATGCTATGTTATATTTTACAATTCTCATTGTATACATTCCAGGAAACTGAGACATACATTAAGCAACTTGCTCAGGATTGCACAGTTAGTTAAGAGTGAGGCTATTTTGGACTTGGGTCTTCCTAACTCTAGGCTCAGTGCTCTACTCCCTCCCTGTGCCACCTGGCTGCTTCTAACAACAGCTATTGCAACCCTTTAAATACATGGAGACAGCAATACTATTTCTTTGTTTTATCCTCTTCTGGTTAAAAATCCCCAGATTCTTAAGCCAGTTCTCATATTATGATCCTAAGGCCTTTTACTACCCCTTACCCCTTTCTCTGGGTACTCGGCAGCTTATTGATATTTTTCTTAACAGGGTGTTCCAAAAACTAACCAGATGTGGTCTGACCATACAGCAGTAGAGTGGGACTGTTACCTCTTTTGCTGTGGATATGACTGCACATATAGGACTTGGGTTTGAATTATGGGAGCACCAGGACAGCAAGAACCACAGCATGGGAGCAAAAAAAAAACAACAAAAAAAAAACGCTTTGATTGCATAGAGACAAGCTGACATTTCCAGTAGCAAAGAGAAGCCCCAGTAAAGACCCTGCAAAATGGATGCATATAGGAGAATTTTTCTGGTGTCAGCTTGATCCAGATGGAAGCTTCAGTGAGATAACTAGAGCAGTCCCTTATTGTTCCAATTACTCTTTTTGCTGCTGCTTAGTTGTCCTTTCTCCTTTTGCTAATTGCCTCAAGGCTGCCGATTCTTGGCCCTCTCTAATTCTGAGGCAGATCTTCCCTCGATCTCCAGCTATTTTGAGTGTCCATTTGTGCCCAGTCATCCTTTGGTATGTCTCTCATTCTCTACAGTCTTGCAGATTTCTTTAGTAACGGATTGGCAGTTTAGAACCCTAGGATGTACTTCATTTGGACTGTCAGACTTCAGTTCACAAAAGACAGGCACAAGCATCCTAATTGTTTGTTGGATTATATTGGATTTTAACTACCAGCTATCTGTTTTAATGCTGTCCTGTTCAGCCCAAAGATCATTCTGATTAACACAAAATGGGGGGAAAAAAAGTTGTGTTCTCTCCGTGGTCCATTATTAATGTCCCATTCATTCTGAGCAGCCATGGTTTCCCTTCTCTGATCTTCACTTTTTCCCATAACTTAATTCAGGGCATTTTTGATGCCTTCATTGAGGGAACCAGTGCACAGATAGCAGCTCACTCATACCTTGTCCTGCGTAACTTTTATCTGTGTACAAAGAAAAGGTTGGGATGTTTTGTTCAGACTGTCTGGTAATAACTTCCTAATGCTCCCACCATTTTTTATTTGAGCAGCAGATTCTTGTTGGTTAAAACATGGCAGGCATTACAGTTGCTCTCCTGTACCTTCTGATGGACAAAATTATTAGTAAAGCAAGCCAAGAGATTATGAGCTGCAGTGGCAGAAAGAAAGCACACATTAATGTCCAGATAATTGAAGGAAGGCCTCAATCACAGCTATTGCCTTGCTTCTGCCAGACTTGTATCTTGCTTCCTGAACTCCTTGTCTGTTTTCTCCTTTTGTCCTAGTTTCTCCCAAGACTATTAACAGTTATGTTTCTCTCAGTCTTACTCTTCATGAGGATGTGCTCCACCATGTTTCCAGCCTCTCGTCCCAGAATTTCTCCACATGAATGTATCTTCATGTCTACATTTCTCCACTTCATTTTAACTGACTTGCCTTTAAATAATATGTACTTTCAAAGCCATAAATCAGTCATAAGTTCCATCCAAGTCTCAGTGATATAGAAATTCCATTTTGCCTGGTTGCATGAAGATCTCTAGCTTAACTTTGTTATCCATGAGATTAGGGGCTAGACCTCTGATTTTATGAGTATAGGGAACTGCTGGGTGAAGAAACTTCTTCTACCAATGAAAATTGGCACCTTCTCTGTAACTTGTACTCAAAGTTGCTTGGAACATGGAGAGATTGACTTACTTGATCAAGGTCATATAACCAATTTGTCTCTGTGGTGAGACTTAATCCACATTGTTCTTACTTTGGGACCAG